CCAATATGGGTAGCAGTGATTTTATCTTTGTTAGGCATTTTAATTTTTCTTAGAGATCCAATATATGGTTTAGCAGAATCTAACATGCTAAGACTACTAACAACATGGCATGTTGCACTAGAATCCAATATCCAATTAGAAGTATAAATTGAAGGGGGAAGAGTATTAAGCAAACTTGACACACATTCTACAATGTAGTCCACTGTTCCTACTACTACCTCATTTGTTTCTTTCTTTAAATGTTAAAGTATTTGATCATACTACTCCTTAGTAAGAAAAAGGAGCATTAGTCTCTGATTGTTCTCCTTCAACTTGATTTACTTGATTTTTTGACTTCCCATGGTCCTTGAAATTAGTAGGTAATGTAATAAGATGGTAGCAATTCTCTCGCTTCTGACCTCGTCTCTTACAATGAGTACACTCCTCTTAAGATTATCCCCTTCCTCTTCCTCTGCCTTGTCGACCGCCTCTCATGGTCATTGTAGTAAATTCAATAGGAGTTGTTTGCCTTTAAGAAGAAGAAATACCTCGTTGATCCTCTTCCTGAGAGCTCATAGAGTAGGCATGGTTAACACTGGGCAAAGGAGTCATCAAGAGAATTTAGGATTGAACACCTTAGTAATCATTATTAAGGCCCATCAAAAATTGGAATAACTGTTGCTTTTTGACTATTTGAACACAATCCTTCAAGGTTGCACATTGACAAGAAGGGAGTGGTATAAGCATACTGTATTCATCCCACAATTCCTTCATTTTTATATTATAAGTAGAAACACTCAACAATCCCCATGCACAACTTGATAGGGCTCAATGAAGGGAATAAATTCTTATGCCATCGGTCTTGTGAAATCTCTCTTCTAAATCCTTCTAGATCAGGTATGCACTGTCTAAAAATATGATTCCAGTTGCTATTTGCTTGTCTACTAAGTTAAGGAGCTAAGAGATCATAATCACGTTACAGTGATCCTACTAATTGCATAACTTAGCGCCTTGACCTTCTCATGTACAAGAACCTGTGATGAAATCCAACTTATTCTTCCCAAGGATCACTAGGTAAATCGCACAACTCCAAACGGTATAGCTATTAGAGCTAGTGAAAACTTGTGAGATAAGGGTTGAAATTTGTGTGTTGGATGGATGAAGATAAAAGGGATCATCAAAATCTAAGGTGATAGAAGACTTTTGATCATCGACCATTATAGAGGCTATTATGCTTGAACAAGTGACAATCAAAGGAGAAAGAGCATGGACAATTGAGAGAAAGTGACTAGGATTTCTTTTTATAGATGCTAAAGATAAAAGAAACCCCCATAAATCTTGTGAGATTTCTTTTACAAATCTTCAACATATACATACGATGCTATTTCAATAGGACTAAGCATCATCTTCTTGGTTTGTGGCTTAGACTGTGTAGTTCTTCTCTTCTTGGAGAAGGACAACGTCATTCTTATTCAACCACCTTAGACTTAGCTTGATTCTTTGGGTTTGGAAGATATCAAACCTTGCTCTGGATACCATGTAAAGCTTTGAAAAGCCCAAAGCCATGAAAAGAATAAAAATATTTTATTACTTCAACTGATTCAAATGGCATAAGAGACAATGGGTTTATTTATAACCCACAGACCAATACACTACAAACTACAAAACAATAGAAATAACTAACTATCATTAATTATTTATCACAACACTATAAGTAGAATGGAAAGAGTCTAGAAAATGCGATGTGGTATTTTTTTTCTATTATTCCAAAATTCAAGCATTTGTATAGCATATGTCAAGAGGCAAAGAATTTAACATGGCATGTAGATGGAAGGATTAAAGATGACAAGGTTCGACATCCAGTTGATTATCCTAAATGGAAAAGGCTTGATTGAAAGTACCCTAATTTTTCATCACTATATTATTTTTATTAATAACCATGATTTTGATTTTTTGTTATTGCATAGAGTAGTACGAGGATGCATACTATAATAAGTACACTCATGCTTAAATGGAAGAAGTCTTTGAAGATTTGGCACATGATATTTTTTCAAGCATGGTTTACTTTTAACAACCAGTAACAGCAATAGTGAAGAAATAAATGTGATATAGGTATAGATTTAAAATTCAAATAGATGGTATACATAGGTATATAATTAGCCAATTTTTGGGATTTAGATATTTATATTTTAGTCACTAATTGATTTAACTCAAACAACTTCATATTGTATATAGCTTTTGTGTAGGAATTCATTGTATATTCATGTATATAAGTGATTATTGTTAGCTGAAATTTGTTTCTGGGTGTGTTGGAATATATATTGTCTATAATTTGCAATACAATGGAGTGGGTTGCTAGAAAATGCAAGCCCTTTATTTAAAAAAAATTAGTCATGATATTTAATGATCTTGCCCCTCATTTTAACAAATTTGGCCATAATATTCAATGGTTATAATGAAAAATTGTTGAATATTATGACAAAAAATATAGTGGATAAATATTCAATGGTTGTCAAATACAATCGTTGAATAGTTATTCAACGGTTCTAGATTCATAATTGTTGAATACAATTTTGAGTCAAGAACCATCGAATATGTTATCAACCAATTTCAAACTTGAATAATGCAAACATTTATTCAACGGTTTTGTATCATAAATTGTTGAATAAAGTAACAATATTCAACGGTTATAAATCATTGAATAAAAGTTCTAAGAATATTCAACGTCAAATTACTCAATGATTCAAAACCATTAAATATTAATAAAAATAATTATTTTATATTCCTTTTTTTGTAGTAATGTTCATTTGACTTGCCAACGAAGCATTAATCAGTTAAAAAGAAAATGATTTGTCTAACACAAACACCACTTGTCAACTGATAATGTTGTTGTCACATGTTATATATTTCTATCTTGACTAGCTCTGGGATTTATTAACCTTTTTTGACTGACAAATATTTATATAACCTAGCTATGATAGTATAGACAAATATAATTTGTGACAGTAGTATTAATTAATTATGATTACATATTAATAAACTTCTTTTTTTAACTGATGAATATCTTGTTGGTAAGTCATGTGACACTTTAAACATATATGATGCAACATATTTCAATACAAAAAGGTTGGAGAGAAATTTTTCACATGGAAAAATTATCATACAAACTAAAATGAGAAATGGGTTTACTTATAGAATATAAGTTTTTCCAGAAACAAACATTGGAGATAAATTTTCATAATAAAATACAGAAAATCCTAGAGACCTTGGCCCATATCTTGGAAATGGGGTGCAAAACTTTCTTACTGAAATAAACAGTAATTAATTTCAAGTCCAGAGGAGTGGCAGAAAGTGTTAAGTACCTCTTTCACCATGTGACATGATTCATTATTTCCTTTGAAGAATAACATTGTGTCATCAGCGTAAGCAAGGTGACAAATGGGGTCCGCCACTCTAGAGATCTTGATTCCATTCCAAGTCATCCCAGCTTCTTTAGCTTTAATCTGATAGGAGAGCACATTCGAGCATAATATGGAAAGATAAGGAAAGGAGATAATGGGTCTCCTTGCCTTATACCTCTTTTTGGAGAAAAAAAAAAGGTGTGAATTTTCCATTGATCAAGATTTGAAAGGAGAGCGAAGAAAGATAATGACCAATCATCCGAATCTAGTCCAACGGAAATTCCAAAACCAAAAGTAATTGTCTTAGGAACGTCCAGTCAACTTTGTCAAAGGCTTTGGCAAAATCTAGTTCCAAGACTGCCCAACATGTTTGAGTCCTCTTTCGATATTTTACAACGGCATCACATTGTGGTTTCTGATGATTGTCCCTTATGTGGGCTGGAAATTCCAAACATAAATCACACTCTTTTTCATTGCCCCTTTCTCAAGGGCTACATGGTTTAGAACTAACCCCTCCTTGCTTGCAATTGAAACTGAAGATGTTATAGATCTCATCCTATCATGGTGCCATAAAGCAATTTTGGATGAATCCTACGTTTATATTGTCAAATACATCCATGTTAATTACTTTGCATATTATTTGGGACTGTATAAATAATTTCAAGCATCAGAATATAATGTGTCCGCCAATGCAAGCCATCTACAAAATCAAATGGATCTTGGCAATGGTGGAGTTATCTTTTTCTGGTCATACTGCTTCAAGCGATGCTTTTTCTACAGCCAAGAAGATTTCTTTTCAGACAGCAAATTTGCGTGGAGGATTGTTTGTTTTTGCTGATGTCAGGAAGATTTTACATGCTAACAAAAGCAAACACAATTTGTTCTCTGCAATTATCTTTCATGATGTACAACTGGCCCATAAGAAGCACGTCCAAGGAGAGAAGAAGCAATCACTCATGTCACTGCTCTTGGAGAGTCTCAAAAACACTGTTAGATGGATCACAGAGTTAGATGACTTTGGTCCTCCTCGCTCTACTGATATTACCTTGGTCTTCATTCATAAAAGTGGACCCTAAACAAGGATGTCCAAACTCTACACGTCTACGACTTTACCAAAGTCTTTTGGTAAACGAAATGGTAATCTAATTAAATAGAGCCAAACATTGGCTTGCCGTTCAAATCAAATAACTATACATCTTCCATTACCAACTACTCATCAAAGACGTGTGGTTTAGCTATTTTACCTGAATCATGATCTACCACAAATCATACTGCATATTAGCTTTCTTTCAGCTGAGAAATTGATACCACCTCATCTATGAAATGAAATATATATATATATATATATATATGAATACCTCAAATGAATAATTGCGTTTAAGAGACCTGTCTTTCCCTTCCTCTGTTCTTGATTTAATACAATCTTAAAATAATTAGATGACACATTTAACTGCTAACCATCGAGACGTACTACCTACTTATTAACTTTAACAGGTGAAAGGAGAAAATAGTTGAGACGTAATAGTAAATCTATCACTGTCATGCTCGCAAGATTGGCGAATATACTTGTTTATAAAGGACCAAGTCTCCAAGAGAACCTCTTAAACTCCAGCCTGGCTTCCCTGATCTCCAAATTAATGGCAGCAGAGAGCAAAGGAAGAGTATGTGTTACAGGTGGGACTGGTTTTATCGGTTCCTGGACCATCAAGACACTTCTTCAGGATGGTTACTATGTTAACACTACCGTTAGATCTCACCCAGGTGCACACCCAAGTTTGTGATGATTTATGTGTTTCTTCCATTATGGGAAAATGTGTGTTAAATTGTCCCCTAAAAAAAACAAAAGACAAGAAAAGAAAAACAGAAAGAAAAAAAACAATGATTATCTATATATTTGAAGCATGTGTGTGTGTGTGTCAGTTTGATCTTCTCTAATAACTTTGTTACAATATATTATTTGTTGAGATTTGTACATATTCCTCTTTTAATTAAGCATGATTTTGTATTCATTAATCATTATTAGCACCATCTATTTTTTTGTGTATGCGTTGTAAATTTTACAGAATAAAGAAGTAGAAAACTTTTTCAAGTATTTTTTCTCTTCTAACTTCCTTCATGATATCAAAACTAATTAATCAAAGCTTTTATAGTTTTTCCAACTTGAAACTTTATTTTGTATGGCAAAGCTCTATCCATCACTCCTTCTTCATAATTTATTTCTTTGTAAATCACCCCAAGTTTTTAACTTGATGATTTATTTTTTCAAAAATTACTACTGAATTTTTTGCCATTGATTCATTTCTTTAAGAATCACTCTTGAGTTTTCTACTTACTAATCCATTTCTCCAAGAATCACTCTTGAGCTTTTTTTTTTTTGGCCTAGAGATTCATTATTCCTATAAGAATCATTCTGGATTTTCACCTAGTGATTCATCCTAAATAAAAAATCACTCCTAAAATTTCTACTAACTAATTTATCATCTTCTTTGAAAATCATTTCAAGTTTTTGTTTAGTGGTGATTTATAATATTGATGTATATGTGAGAATCACTCTGAGTCTATATTTACACTCTTCAAATTCCTCTCTTTGTCATACAAAGGATTGATGGTTGCTCTTACTATTATTGTTACCACTGCATTGCCAACCAACTAATTCATTTATTCATCAGATTAAATAATACAAGTTATTCCAAACTCAAGAGCAGACTTTCAGGAGAGTACTGTTATGATATATTATTTATTAAGATTTATTATTTGTTGAGATTTGTACATATTGTTATAATTTATTATTTATAGAGATTTATTATCTGTTGAGATTTGTACATATTGTTATAATTTATTATTTATTGATATTTATACATATTCTCCCTTGAATTAAGGAATATTTTGTATTTACAGATTATTTTTGCATATATATATATATATATATATTATAAACTTTACAAATCGATACAGTACATTTTTTCATTTGTTTTTTTTTCTTCTATTTCTTTCAAATTTCATGTCTTTTGCGAGACAAGATATAGACTTTGTCTTGTGGATGAAAATCATTTGTGTCTTTCTATAATGTAACTAAATTAAGAAATATTTCGTCGTTTAGTATTAAATTCCTTTCTTTTAACGTGAAAGTGCAAATCGAATGAATGCTCTTCGGACAAATGGAATCATATGATTTTCTTTTCCATTACAGAGCACAAGAAAGATGTGAGCTTCCTCACAAATTTGCCAGGAGCATCTCGAAGGCTACAAATTCTGAACGCAGACCTAAGTGAGCCAGAAAGTTTCAAGGAAGCCATTGAAGGGTGCATTGGAGTTTTCCATGTGGCTACTCCAATGGATTTTGAGGAAAGCGAACCTGAAGAGATTGTGACCAAAAGATCCATTGATGGAGCATTAGGTATTCTGAAAGCTTGCCTCAATTCAAAAACCGTGAAGAGGGTCGTTTACACTTCCAGTTCTTCCGCTGTTTCTTCAATTGCCATAGAAGATGAAGTGAAGGATGAAAGCTCATGGACTGACGTGGATTTACTTAGAACTTTTAAAGCAATTGGACGATCTTATGCCATTTCTAAGACATTGACAGAGAAAGCTGTGCTTGAATTTGGAGAACAAAATGGATTAGATGTTGTCACTGTGATTCCCACTTTTGTTGTTGGACCCTTCATATGTCCTAAGCTTCCTGGCTCTGTTGGTTCAACACTCTATTTTTTATTTGGTATGTTCTTCAACTTGCTCTCCACATCATTTTCAATTTATTCAGGGTTAAAGTTCATTTTTACTCTTGAACTACTTTTATAAGAGCACACAGTATTTTAAACACTTTGTCTTAGCAATATTACCCTTAAAGTAATTAAAAATGTTGCCCTAACATTGAATGGCCAAACGTTAATGGTTAACTTTGCCAAATCATACTTAATTAATGTCATTAGAGGCAACTTTGTTACGATTTAATTACTTTTATGTCAATGTTATTTGCATTTAATTACTTCAAGGCAACATTATTACATACCATTTGAGTCAAATTTATTTTTGAGTTAGTAAAGTTAATTGTTAATGTTTGCCCATTTAACGTCAAGGGCAAACTATTATGATTTAATTACTTCAAGAGCAACATTGATATTGCAAAAAGTTTGGGACACTAGGTGTTCTTACAAATATAGTTTAAGAATAAAAATGAATCGTAACCCATTTATTTATAATCTTATTTTTATTTGGTGTCTTTACAAAAATCTGATTCAGGTAAGAATAGCCATCCATTTAGTTTTCTGCAAGCACCAATGGTGCATGTGGATGACGTGGCAAGAGCACATATCTTTCTACTTGAACATCCCAACCCAAAAGGCAGATATAATTGTTCTGCATGTTTGGCAACTATTGAAAAGGTGCTTGAGACTGTGTCTGCTAAATACCCAGAATTTCAAATGCCAACCATAGAGTAAGTTACGATCTTGTCCTTCTTCATGTTTAATTTTTTGAAGTACAGTTATGAGAATACTATTCAAGCCAGTGGCTTGTCTTCCATGCATATATGTTTTAACGTTTACTTCACCATTTAATTCTTCTCTTATTTCATTTATTGTAGTGCTTTAAAAGAAAGCACTGGGGGCCTGAAACTTCCAGATCTGTCATCTAAGAAGCTCATAGATGCTGGATTTCAGTTCAAGTATGGACTTGAAGAAATGTTGACTGATGCAATTGAAAGCTGCAAAGAAAAGGGCTTTTTTAATAGAGCTACAATATAATATAAATATGGTATATGGAAGGTGGAAGATGCTCTATAATTGTCTATTTTATCAAATGTATGTGTTTTTGTGTGATTGTAAATTTGTAATTGCATGAAAAATTATAGTATGGCATATGTCCGTCACATGTGAACACTGTGACTTTATGAAGTGTTTGTTTTATCAGAATTAATATATAAGCCCAAGATTTGCATTACCAATAATTACCAATGGTAATCGTGAAAGTGAGAGAATGAAAAGCTTTAGTATTATCGAGGGAAAACTAATTCCTTTAGTCCAAAATATAAATAGTTTTTGATAATAATCTGTATACCAATAAAATTCATATTCTCTCATGAAAATACATGCTTTCTTCAGTAAAAAATATAAACATTTTTTTTCATTTAATTTTGGTCTAAAATATAAACAACTTAGTACTTGTAAAAAAAATTCTTGTTTTACCCTTTGTATTTATTAATTTAGATCCATGTATATGTGAATTTATTATAACCTCTTTCTAACTCATCCTAAATTGGAACTAAGGATTAAAAAAAAAACTCTCTCCATTCTAAATTATAAGATATTTTTAAGAAAGATTTCACATTCCAAAATATAAAACACTTTGATAAAAATAAAATTTCATTAATAATATTTTTTTAATATTACCCTTCTTATATATTCTCTCTCTTTAATATTTTTTTTCAATGGAGTATTAAATAAAGCACATTTTTAAAAGTTTATATTTTTATCTTGAAAAAATAAAGTTATAAAATATATTTAATAAGCTTTATTGATATGTTAAATTTTATTTAAAAATATCTTATAATTTAATATAAAAGAGTAATATATTTTTATGGGAATAAAAAATTCATTAGTGTGCACGTCATTATTAAAAGCTGCTTGTTATTTTGGAGTAAAGGGAGTATTGTTTATCCTTTTTATCTTTAATTCCAATTATTAATGATGAGTGAGAAGAAGATTAATTAATACAATAAGTAAAATAAGAAAAAAAAATCCATAACTACTAAGTTGCGTATATCTTAAATCAAGATTAGCCTAAAAAAATGTTTAATCTTATAGTTTAATGGTATACTTTTCTCACTAATATTTAATGAAAAATAAAAGAAAAGAATTTATAATGAACATGATATATATATATATATATATTAATAAAATGACATAATAATAAAAATATAATAATAAAGAAGTTATATAAGTGTGTACTTCTTTTGTCTTATCTGGAATGGGAGGGGGTTAACATTTTTAACGAGACAAAACATTCGGAGACCCATATCATACATGAGAAGAGTTGGGATGTTCACGGGACTGGACGGGATCGGGACACTCCCGTCCCATGTCCCGTCCCGAAAAAAAGATCAGAACTAAATTTTGATCTCGTGTCCTGTCCTGTCCCGAAAGTCGTCCCATTCCGTTAAGAGTCGAGACGGGACCGGGACAAGATTGGGACGTCCCGCCGTCCCAATAAATGAAATAATATCGAAAAAAGATCTGGATAATAATGTTCATTAAAATTTTAAATTATATAATTTATTAAGTTTAAAATCAAAATAACACAAGTACATAAATAATAATAATTTAAAATCAATTATTGAATTATATTAATCACAACTACATATTATAATAAAAAATACAAGTGATCTTTATACTATAAGATTAGTAACAACAGACAAGTCAAACACAATATCAAATAATTGTTCTTCTACTTTAGTGAAGATGTACTAAACTAATTACTCTTCTAAAAATAAGCAAGAAATATATTATAAATAAAAGTTATTAAATAGATAGATATAAGAATAAATTATATTAATATAATTAATATATTATAAAAAAGATATCGCCATATTTACTCCATGTCATTAAAATTATCAATATAAAAACACTTTAGTTTTAAATAAGAATTGTAAGTATTAAAATTATAATTGATATAATTAATATAAGTATAAATTATATTAATATATTTAATATATTTAAAATAAAAAATAATATATATAATATTCGAGACGGGACGGGACGTTCCGATGGTAATCTCATGTCCCGTCCTGTCCTGAACTCCTTTTCTGTCCCGTCCCGTAAAGTCTCGTCTCGATTATTTTTGAGCCGGGACAGAAACCCGTCTCGATATGATCGAGACGATATCGGACCAATCGGAACGAGTCCAGATTGAACACCCCTAGAGAAGAGGTAGAGAGTGTGGTGGGCCCCTCTTACCATACAATTAGTTCCATAATAATTATGTCTAAAATTAAAATATTGAAACTAAAATATCCTTATAATTAATATTTATTTTTTCTATCTAATTTAATAATTCCATCACTTATAAGGGACAATTTAGGAAAAATGTAATCAATTCTTCTTGAATTTATAATTTTACTTATAATGTTGGATTTGAGTGATTGTTGTGAAGCTATAGCGTGTTAGGTTGATTTCCTGCCCCACTATCATCTGAAAATTGTACCAAATAAATACCTAATTGAGAGAATTAAGCGAAAAAAAAAATAGAGAGAAGAGGAAGAAAATGCTTGTCATGAAAGGCTTAAATGTTTGCAACCTGGAGCTTCAACCAATTTGGCATTCTCTCACCTTCTTTGTTTCATTATAACTTTTTTTTTTAATACCATTCATTTGTTTGACAAAATATATCTAAAATCAACTCTTTTGGGTGATAAATAAAGAAAACATATCATCGAACCTAAAAATTACATTTGAGAAAATGAACAAAGTAATCTCTAAAATTTAAATCAAATAGTATCATAAATATTGAACTCACTACTAGAAAAATAAAACTTAGAGTGGGACAAATCCCTTACTAGATTGCATTTTAACAAGAGTTTTGTCCTTTATTAAATTTGTAGCTAAAAAAATGCATTAATTTTAGTAAGGGATTGTATTACTCTCGCTAATTAGCGAGAGATTTAGTGAAGGATTCAGCGAGGGACTGAATCCCTTGCTAAATCCTCACTAATATTATTCAAAATTCGATAACTTTAACGAAAGATTAGTTCCTTGCTAATCGCTCGCTAAATATGCATATATTTAAAAATAATGATGCCACATCACCCATTATATGTGGGTTAACTTGTAACATGTCACCAACAACCTCATGTCTCATCAACCGCCATGTCACCTACTATCTCATGCCCTATCATCCTTCATATGTATGACAACTCATAACATGTCATTATCCACCTTATCTCATGTCACTTGCTCCTTATCATGTCATATATTCATTATATTTATGTCAAAATCAAGACTTTAACCCTTGACCTCATACCTTTCAAACTTTATGCTCTTCTTCTTTACCAGTTAAACTAAAAGGGACATGTAGTCATTTTATGAGAAATTAAATATATATTATTTAACTACATAAATATCTCAAATGCTATATTATAAAAATACAAACATATATACATATTAAATTTTATTTTTAATTTTTAATATGTTAAAAATATTTATATTTTATTTAAATTATTCTTTATATTGTATTTTTTCTAAAATATTATTTTCTTAGTGAAAATCAACTTAAAATAAAGAAAATATTAAATATTAAATAATTTTATTATGAATATTTTAGTTAATTTTTAAGTTAATTTTTATTTTTAAATAAAAATAATTAAATATATAATGAAAAGTTATTGTCAAAAGTTAAATTTTTTTGCAGTAATTAGTCAGGGATAGAATCCCTTATTAATTATCTTATTTTAGAAAGTGATTGATAGTCTCTCACAATTATTGTCACTAATTGTTACACTTTAGAGAGGGATTGATGGTCCCTCATTAATTTTTTTTATTTTAAAGAGAGATTGATAGTCCCTCACTATTTTTCTCATTAATTTAGTATTTTAGAAAAAAATAGATCATCTCTCATTAAATTTCTTTGTTAATTTGTAATTTTTTACTAGTGACTCCTCTTACAATAACCCATGAGCTTAGATTAAGGTTAAAATTTATGATTAAGTATTTTAATTATATTTTTATTAATTTTTAGAACAAATATATTAAAAGGAATCTCGGTCTGGTGGAAATCATGCTAACCAACTCATCTACAGGTCCTAAGCCTGAGCCACAATGGAGCGATGGGGTTTTATTTTATTTTTTCATCATTTTTAAATTAACATTTTGCCCCTCATAATCAGATTCTTTCCGCGAGTCATACCAAAAGAGAGAGGAAGATAAATCCAAAACCCTCCGCCTGTACTTTTCCTCGATTCCAGCGTGATGACCGGGTAAACCTTTAGGCCAATTAAGGCGATTGCTTTAGGCCTCATAAAAATATTATTTACATAAAAAATTTATTGATCTTTTTTTTATAAATTAATTACATTATAGTCTTAATTATAGTATGAGATGTTGAAAATATATCTTATAATATTATTTATTTTTTATTAGTAAAATCTTATCACTTATTTATGAAAAAGTTATAAGAAAAAGGGGCTTTAGCAAATTTAGCTAATATTATATAGCTAAATAAAACCAATAACTCATCTTTTCTTTAATTTATCTTTAATACAAAAGATAAAACTATCCTTAAACATTATAATACATTGATTCTTCTTTTTCACACTGGTTTCACTTTTATCCATCCGAAGATGTGGAGATGACATTGCACTCTCGATCACAATGGCGAAAAAACTAACAATAGACAACGGAACAGCTCACACCGATAGATAAACAAAGTTAGAGATTTAGTTAGGAGACCACAAGAATGTGAGGCAAGGCAGACTGAAAGCTGTAGATTCAGGTTGAAATATCAAAAATGCGAGGTGAGAAAGTTTGAAACTGCAGCTTTTATACAAAGCCATACTAAAGTTGCAGATTCAGGGTAAGGAAGTTCGGTCAAACTCTGTTACAAAAGCCAGAGTTCAAGTGAGGGTTTCCTGAGATTTGTTTGGTCTATTTTGAGAAAATGATTATGTGTTTTTCGTATTACTGATCAACGATACTACATCATTAATCCACGACTGTATATCAATTATAAACAAGTTTATATCTGATTATCTGGTTATATTGATCTACGATAGTATATCAATGATATACTATTATATATCATTAATATATAAGTTATATAAGTAAAAATTTACTAATTTATTTATCATTGATATACAGACGTATATCGATTATCGATGATATAGTATCGCAGATTAGTAACGGAATTTCATTTCCAATGTCTAATGTTCTCT